CAGACATACACACACACACACACACACAGCCATGAATCATCGTTAGCAGAGCTGCTCTGACTGGTATTAAACACACAGACTCCTCAGTCTCTTCACTGGACATCTATGGAGTTAAATCTGTGCAAAATACTCTGTTTTCAACTCATTCAGTGGCTCTCTAAAGAGCAGTTAGGCAAATGTATGTTTGGATAATTACTCAAGTTTTTAAATAACAGTCATTCATTCTCCAGTGAGAAACAATTAGACATGATCTTAGAGTAATTTATGTGCATTCAGATAGCAAAACAACTTCACAAAAATAACAACAATAAATAATAATAATAATAATAATAATAATAATAATATAAAATATTGTATTATTACAATTTAATAATAAATAATGAAAAATATTATTTATGTATAAAATATTATTTTTATTGTATTAAACATAAATAATCAGTATCTATCACAAAAGCAGTTTTGTTATATTTTAATAACAAAATATGAAATAAATATATTTTAGTTTAGTTCATTACTTATATTTTTAATATTGCAATGTTGTTTTATTAAACATATATGAATAATCAGTATCTGTCATAAAATGTAGCATTAAGTTTTAATAATAAATTAAAAATATTTAATGTTTTTAATATATCAATATTATTGTACTGAACAAAAACCATCAGTATGTCATAAAATACATTATTAAAATGTAATAATAAAATATAAACTAAAATGATAAATAATATTGTTAATATATTAATATTATTTTATTAAACAAACAATCAGTATCTGTCATAAAATATTCTAGCTTTTTTCTGATTTATATCTGTGAGAGTCTGTATTTAATACTTCATTTTATTTAACATAAGAACAACCTATATCTGTCATAAAAAGCACATTATTATATTCTAACAATAAAATATAAATTAAAATAACAAAATATTTAATATTTTTAATATCAAACTTTTTATTAAACATATGAATAATCAGTATCTGTCATAGAAAGCAGTATTATTATGCCTTAATAATAAACTATAAATTAAAATAATAAAATATTTGTAATATTTCACTATTATTTTATTAACAAAGACAATCAGAATGTCATAAAATGTATTAGAATTTAAAAAAATAAATAAAATAAACAAAAAATAAAATATTTTATATTTTTAATTTATTAATATTGTACATATATAAATAATCAGTGTATTATTATTATATTTTAATAAACTATACTAATATTTTTTATATATAACATAACATATTTTATATATAACAATTATTTTATTAAACAAAACAATCAGTGTGTGTCATACAATTTATTATTATAATTGAATAATAAAATCGAAACTAAAATAATACAA